TAAAGGGAAAAAGAGTTTAGTGCATATAATACTCACCCTAAATTCAACAAATATTCTTAATGCCAATTTGTGTCTTAGTTACTTAAAAGTTCTAGTCGCCAACGATTTTGCAAAGAGAATTTGCTAGCTTCTTACTCAAATAAATTTGATAAACACTATTTCACTTTTCTTCAAGAGTTTATATGTAGAGAAAAACTTAAGCTCAAGTTGTTAGTTACGTTAGTCATTTATATATCAAACTTACTCATACTTCCCATTGATCCCTGTTGATGTGGGATTCAAGGCATGACGATCTCCCCAATTAGGCCGATTAAGCCCTAAGCTCAAGATCCACTTCAAGCAATGTGGGGCCCACACTATTAATGGTCATGATGATCAATATGGGCCTACACTTATGAGAGGTAATTGCTTTGATACAATATATAATGACTCAACTCACTATTGATATTATCTACTTCAATGACCCACACTATCAACAGTCACAATGATCAATATGGGTCTACAACAATGAAAGGTGACAATTTTGATATCATATATAATGACTCTGCCCACTATTAATATTATTCGCTTTAGCTTATCAAGCTTCACAATTTTAAAATAAGTTAATAGGGTTTAATAGGTGTTGACTCATATATGTTGCTTTGTCAATGTATAATTTGACTAGAAAGGAAGTCACACGAAATGGCTCTAATATTAATTGAAACACGACTCAGGCCAAAGCTTATTATTGGCCTAACAACTCTTTGGGTTAAGGTTTATAAGTGCTCAAAAGTTTAAACTCAAATTGTTAATAGCAATTGATTATTTATATATCAAATTCACTCTTACTTCCTTATCAATGTGGGATTTGAGGTATCACATTTAAAGTAAAAAAAAAATGATAATTATTTTGTGATAAATGGGGCAGTACTTTTTAACTTTCCTACAAAACTTTTGCAACCACTTAATAAAATCAAAGAGATTAGTGCTTATCAACTAGATTTTAAAAAAATTTAAGAGGTAAAACATCTTAAAACTATGTGATTTCATTAAAGCACCATAGGAAAAAAACTAAAATAATTTTATTCTTGCTTTAAAAAATGTTATTTTAGTGTTTTTTACTGAGAAATTAATGAAATATTATGTAATTTTAAAATGTTCTTTCTTATTTTTTAGGAATTTGACTAATAAATACTTTGTTTAAAATAAAATATTTTATCAAAAAATTGGCTTTTAAACTAAGGAAGTCCATGATTGGTTAGTTGCAATAGTTTTTTTTTTTTTTTTTTGTCAAAATATATAAGGTATTTTGGACAAACTTTCTTACGAAGTTTTTAAATTGCTAAGTCTTAACACTTCATTTGAAAGTATTGTGTGTTTGAATATAGTTGTAAGTTTTTTAATCTTTAACTATCCTAAAAACACATAAATATTGAGATTAGTGTTTATTAATCGAACTTGTAAAAAATTAGGTGAAATAATATTTCAAAATTATATCGTTTTAATAAAATATTATAAGGAAAAACTAAAACAATGTCATTTGTACTCTAAAAATAGATTATTTTAATATTTTTTCATAAGAATTTATTAAAATAACATAATTTTAAAGGTTTTTATCTAATTTTTTTTATAAACAAGGCTGATAAACATTTTTCTTTTAAAATTAGTGAAGTTATATAAAAAAAATTAATTAAGAATTATACATTTATATTTTTAGATAAAGTTTTGTATGAAAAAATACATGCAGATGTAATGTTAAATGAAGTTTAGTGTTAATAATCTTTTACGAATTTAAGCAATAAAGGAAGAATATGTATTATAGAAATGTGTTCTTCAATACAAACTCCGTAGCTTTTTTGTGTAACTTAAATATTAAAATTACCAAAACATTGATAATAATACTCTTTTTTATATTTGTTTATTAATGATATTTTGATAATTTTAATACTCAAATTGAAAAAAAAAAAGTGTAGTACATACTAAAAAATACTATCTCTATGTTTTATTTATATTTTTCAAGGAATATATATTCCTTAATTTTTTTTTAATGTAAATCTTCTATATTATTTATATGGCTTAATTTAACAAATTTTCTATTAACTATCATTATTTTATAGTTTTATCTAATATTTTTATTTTCTTTCAACCAAAATCAAAAAAAAAAAAAATCTACTTAACTACATGTTTTCTCATTTATTTATATGTTACATGATTCATACTTAGATTCTTATAGTATCACAAGTTTCATTAAAATTTAAGTAATTGTTAATTATCATGTAGATAGTGCTATATAAATAATTTAAATAAATACACTTAATATTATAAATTTTATATAAATAAAAAAAATTAATTATTTAAATAATATATTAAATTATATTAAAAAATAATATAAAAAATTATCCCAAAATTATTTTCTCGTCCTACTCTTCCCAAAAATTCATGCACTTGCGATTAGCCGATTACTGATCCACGTGGCAGAGAGTCTAGTCAGAGCAGACTCAAAACAAGGTGCTTAAAGCCCGCTGCAGTGCACATTAGAATGGCCGCCATTGAAACCCGGATAAGAGCAAGCACCTGGATCCTCTAATACCGCCAAAATAACAGGATAAGTATAGCCAACAGTTTTCTCTTTTACTTTGACCAACACATACCCATCACCATCAATGGACTCTCCATCATCATCACCGTTCACATCATCCCTTGCGATTCTCACACCCAAAGTCAGATAGATCTACGGCTTGATCCCATCACAATGTCTACTCTTGACGGTACTTGAAACAATCTTCTTTTAGTAGTTATTTATCTCCCGAGAGGCGAAAGATCTTATTATTGTCATCTTTTCATATACGGACAGACCCAGAAACAAAGAAAAAGAAAGAAAAGAAAAAGTTGATAGCAATGGCGTCTTTGCAGCTGAGGAGGGAGGATAGTATGCAGGAGAGTCCGAGGAGTCCAGAGGCGCAGGTGGGTATGAAGGTGGAGGATTTATGGGACGTTCAGGAGCCGCAGCTTACTTCTACAGAGAAGCTTAATGCTTGTTTTGAGAGCATCCCTGTCTCTGCCTTTCCTCCTGCTCCATCATCACAAGGTGTCTAACCATAATTACATCTGTTCTTTAGATGAATTTATGCACTGATCAACTGATCATGCGTTTTATTTTATGATATCATATGATTGTTTGTTAAGTTGTGAACCCCATGTGTTTGGAAAAGAATTTGGATTGATCTTTCATTAAAAAGGAAAAAAAAAAACCCAGAAATTTGGTTGATCAATGTAAGTTTTGACAGCAATGACTTTGACGATCCCCTGTTTTATTGGGTAGGAGAAAATTTTTAGAGGGTTATTTTTACTTTTATATATTTATTTATAGGTTTGGATGAAGGGGGTATTACATATATGTAGCTGGACGCGATATGAGCTATTGATTTAAGTACCTTTTGGATATAATGGAAGACATGTTAATTATGCAATTTTTTTAATGCTTGTTATTATATATGCTCAAGGGGTTCTTTTGTTAAATATATGTGAAATTGTGTAAGCAGTGATTGAGATAAAATCGAATGCCAGTCTTGCTGAAGCTGCTCAGCTTCTTGCTCAACACAAGCTTTTTAGTGCCCCTGTTGTCAATGTTGATGCACCTGAGGATGCTACTTGGATTGACAGATACATCGGCATTGTTGAGTTTGCAGGAATTGCTGTATGGATTTTGCAACAGGTTAGCACACTAGTTTGCCTTCTTATTAGTTGGTAATTCAACTTGCCAATCAAAAAAAAAATTCAATTGGACGGCACATCTATTTCATTGCTTTTAATTGCATCTTTTTATTTCTTGTTCATCCATGCATGGAAACTGTAGAAACTAGAAAGGCTTTATCATTCTGGGGTTGCTAGTTCTTGGAACATGGTAGCCAAAGAATTTTTTATCTTTTTCTAGAATGTGGACCATCTTTCTTTTTGTGTGTTTTTTGTAGCAAGATATCTGATGGTTATGATTTAGGATGCATTGTTTTGGAAAAAAATTCTCAATTTCTTTTGAGATTTGAATTTAAAATATTCATCTTATGTGATGAAGCAAGTGATGGGAAAATGGAATGGTAGGAAAAGCGAGTGGTCATGTTATGTTATCAGAAGTCTTTTCCCTCTGAGGGCAACTAAAGTATATAATGTCTCAAGTTTTTTGGTTTCTTCCACATTGGAAAAATGAACTGTCACCATTATTATATAAAATTAAAATTAAAATTAAAATTAAAATTAAAAATAAAGAAGAAGAAGAACGACTTCTGCTTAAGGGTTATAGAGATATAAGGATGATTTATGAGGTTACTGGGGAAGAAAATGATTAGACGAAAAGGTTTATGATTTTTCATTCAATTAGCATTACCAGTGGCTAAAATTTTTAGTTCTAGAGGAAGGTGAACTTCAGTTTTCAAATTAGCTTATGATATATAGTAACATGATAAAAAAGCAAGTCTTTATCTCATTATTCTTCTCATTTCTCCATTTTCAAGCTGGGAAATTAAGAACAATTTTTTTTTCCTATCAGTCAGAACCTCCATCACCTAGGAGCCCTTCATCTCCGACCAATGGGACTGATTTTGCGATAGCAGTTAATGGAATGACTTCTGCTGTAGGACTTGGGCTTCTAGGCAATGAAGATGGTGCAGTAACTTCGGGGAACTTTTTTGAGGCTCTAACTTCTTCTGACTTCTATAAGAACACAAAGGTTCTGTTTCTAACTTGGATAACATGCAAAATCTCGTTTCATCCTGAATTCTCTCAGCCTTTATGTTTAATGAAATTGTCCATGCTGATTTACAAGCATTATACAGGTTCGTGACATCTCAGGGTCATTTCGCTGGGCTCCATTCCTTGCTTTGCAAAAATCAAACTCCTTCTTAACCATGCTCTTGCTGCTTTCAAAATACAAAATGAAGAGTGTTGCCGTGGTTGATTTGGGTGAAGGGAAGATTGATAACATCATCTCACAGTCTGCCGTTATTCACATGTTAGCAGAATGTGCTGGCCTTCAATGGTTTGAGAGATGGGGAACTAAAAGGCTGTCTGAGATTGGGCTTCCTGTAATGTCATCTGATGATATTATCATGGTAAGTCACCATTCCCTTTCTTCACAGGGATTGGAGTCTTGTCATGTTTATGCTCATCAATAGTACTTTATTTAGTTTGAAATATCAAACAAAAACTTGTAATGTGAGGAAGATTCTGATTGTGGATGCAAGTCAATAAATAAATTTCCCTCCATAGAGTCTTTTACCTTTTCTAGAGATTTTGCTAAGAGCATTTGACAATTACCCATAAATACTCATTATCTGTGTTTTAGGTATATGAGGATGAACCAGTGCTGCAGGCATTTAAGCTCATGAGGAAAAAAAGAATTGGAGGCGTACCAGTTCTTGAACGTGGTGGTAAAAAGGCAATGGGTAATATAAGCATAAGAGATGTTCATTTCCTTCTTACTGCACCAGATATCTACCATAAATACAGGTTTTTTTTTTTTTGTTTTTTTGAAGCATACATTATACTTCATTATTTAATTTTCCATGGTTATCCCTTAAACTGTTATGAGTTAAGTCCTTTTAATGCACAGATCCATCACGGCAAAGAATTTCGTAGTGGCAATCAGAAATTACTTGGAGAAGCAAAATGAGAAACCAGTTGTGGCTAGTGGCCTGATTACATGCAAGAGAGACCACACAATGAAAGAATTGATTATGCTTCTAGACTCCAAGAAAATCCATCGGGTTTATGTTGTGGACGATGAAGGGAATCTGGAAGGAGTGATCACACTCAGAGACATAATCTCGAGGTTAGTACACGAGCCCCGTGGATACTTTGGTGATTTCTTTGATGGGGTTTTGCCTCTACCTGCAAACAGCAGGGTTTGAAGAGCACCTGGAAGTTGTGTTCCACTTCCAGTTGGTTTTTCTGATGACTGATCCCATCTTTGTGTGATGAATATCACTCTTTTTGTGGATTGTGACATAGCTTGATATGCAAGGCTCCCATGTGATTATTTTTCTTTCCAGTTTAACATGTTTTAAGTTTTTCTGTAAATTTTGATGAAACCTTGTATGAGCCCATCTCCACTCATGTCTAATAAGGCAGCCTTCTTCATGTTTTCTTCTTTGTTTGAACAACTGATTGTAAATTAGTTCTCTGTTTAATTTTGATAGTCCTTAATCTTCTAAGCCATTGTTGGTGCAAGTAATTGTGGTGGTGAAAGATCCCAACTGTTATTGAAGTTTCAATGTCTCAACTCTCGAAGTTTAAACTTTGAAACAAGTGGGGAAAAGTTTGGACAATGAGAGCGATAACCTGTCATCCTCTACACCTGATACATAATAATAATAATAATAATAATAATAATAAAAGAAACTTTTTAAAAATGACTATTAAATATTATAGAATTTCTTCCAACTCTTTTGATTAGCGGTTTCTCAACCAATAAGAACTTGATGCATCATTATAAGTTTAAAGCTCCACATCAAAATTTATCAAGGATTGTTTGTGCGATATCATGTCTTAGGCTGTGTTTAGTGGCCTAATTTCCTGGAAAAAGGCATTTCTGGGAAGCTGGATAAATTTTGCTAGTTTGCGTCAAGATTCTGGGCACAAAATTAAGAATAAAAGAGAATGATTATTTATATTGTGACCGGTTATGATAGAAACTAATTACTTGCCTTATCCAGAAACGTGTTTCTGAGACAAAAGTCCCAGAGCCTCCTACCAAGAAAAGGAAAAGTGAGTAAAAATGGCCTTACTCTTTACCTCCTTACCAACATTTTTCTCAACCTAGTGTGAATGTGTGATGCTATAACCAAGCAAGCATATGGTATGAAAAA